GAATATGACTGAAAAATTTCATTTTTACTGAAAAGGTGGTGTCTATTTACTTGTGACCACACTGTGTACATCCTCAGATCCACATGCTGGCATGTTAACCACAAGGCCATGTCCAACCTCTCCTTCTCATCCACTTCCAATTGAGCTTCCAGTCTATATGTAAAATTTAGGATGAATTACATCCTGTTTTTAGCAAGTGTGAAAAAACTACAAAGTTTTATGAGCAATCCTCCAAAATCACAAGAAACTGCTTAAATAATGCTTCATATGCAAATGAAGACTGAATTATCAATTAGATTTTTTTAATATTAACACCTTCCTTAGAAATAAACCTGTTTTTATAGGCAGCATAATTACTCAACATGTAAATATTTTCTTGTTGATTTCAGCAACCTGACTGGGATGCCCGATAAAAATGTGTACAAGCATATTTTACCAAGAACTTCAACCAAATCTCCACATTTCTGCGAACTTACATAGGTCATCCCTCTCATACATTTTCAGATCTTTCCCATTTTCCTTCTCAAGGTCTGTACTGAAGACCTTCTAATTTATAGTTACATCTTCATGATCATAATTTATGTTGTTTTATAACTTACTGACAGTAATAAGGTGAATTACAGCTAAACGATCAGTACATTGGCTAAGCCTAATTCAAAAAGATGGTACAACCAATGGTGTCTAACATGCTAACAGAAGTAAAACCTTCAGATAAAATAATATTTTTGCAAAGACTAAACTTATGATCTTCTTCCTTTCAAAATAACTATTTATTTTTAGTTGCATGTGTCATAAAATTCAAGATATGATATCAGTAAATGAAAGCTTCCTTATCTCTATCAAAACTTGTTTAAACAGTCCCATATTAATAACTTAATACTTCTTAAAAGGCTGTTTACCTACAAACGTAAATGGCTCCCATTATGCACAAATATTTCTCCCTATCTTTTACAAGGATCTAACCAACTTACCCTGTCTATTCAGATATATCCCCACTAATTAAATCCTTAAGCCTTACTTAAAATTTCTTGGTTACCCTTAATATGAGAGAGAACTGAAAAAGCTACTTTATGATTTTTTCCTTAGTTCAAAAGTATCTCTTTGTGCCTGGTTAAGAACTCCTTAGACCTGTCATAACCAACATTAATGGCTTTGAAATGTTCTTAACCCTTTCGATGCTATAATCAGATTTATCCGACTTGACATTTATAGCTGTTTGCTGCAACAATTGGATTTGTCCCACAGTGTCACAAAAACTTTTCCTCGTAGTGCAACAATCGGAATACTCACATGTCCTTGAATTTCCTGCTGTAGTACATCACCGAGCAAAAGTGAAACTAGTGGAATTTGATATTCAAAAAGTACTAAAAAAAGGGCCAAATTCTCACTCTCATGTTCAGTGGATAATTGACACTTTTCGAGAACCCACCAGAAATGTAATTACGTACTCAAAGGGTTAAAAAAGTCATCTTATTCAGTCTATGTCATTAACCTTCTGTATCCGTCATCTCTATGATATCTTAACTTAAGCCCTAAGTAAACAACACAAACCAACATCACTAGTTCTGAAACGTACTTAAAAAATGTCATCTTATTTAGTCCCTGTTGTTAATCTTCTATATCTATTGTCTCCACAACATCTAACAATAAGTACCAAGCAGGCAAATAGAAGTCCAAAGATTTTCTGTGTACTCCAACATATATAGTCCTTTCAGGAAATGTAACTATAAAATTCTTTACAATATAAATACCAAGTTCTTTTTCTTCCCTACCATAATCAATGGACAAAATAAAACATGGCTGAACGCTACTTAACATTTTCCCCCCTAAACTTTTTTTCTTTGCACATTACAGTAAACCCTAATTTCTTTTTCTTTCCTCACAAACACAAGCTTAACTTTTAGATTATCTATTTACGTTTTTCATTATATAATAACTTGCTTCTTTTGCTCTGAATTTCAGTAAAGTTTTATCCAACAAGTATGCTCAAAATACAAACACTACAGAATTACTATGATTGTTTTGAAAACTTCAATTAACCCATTATTTACACAAATTACCAACTCTTTTCTTTGTTACAACTTAAAAATTTCATGTTCTACATTTACAGTCTATGTATCACACTGCCAATTACAATGTTAAACACTTACCTCATCTTCTTGGCCATGTAAATCTTCATTGATGGATAAATCTTCATCAGAAAGCAACTCTCTCAAAAACTGTTCTACTCTCAATCTATACTTTCTAGACAGTCAAAACAACCTTTAATTGTTCAAATTTCACTAAATATAATGTACATCTTCTATAAGAATGCATATACTAAAAAAATTATATATTTTTGTTCTGTCCTTTTTTGTGAGAAAGCAAAGTGAACATGCACAACACATATTTTTGTAAGTATTTCCCAAGTTGCTGAGAAATACAAAAGAAATATATTACACATGAAGAAAACACAAACATATAACAACTTTTTAAAAACTTCTTGCACAAACTTGTTTAATAACAAGAAAATTTCTAGCTGTTTTCATGCACAATGAACTGTTAAGAGTATACGTATCTAACCTATATAAAACTAGTGTGTCATGCTTGATTTTTTTAAATAGGAGTCATAAAAGCCAAAATGCATTTATCCAGATAGAACAGTTCGATTACTGTCTGCCCATTATGATTTAAATGATGGGGGTGCAAGGGGCTGTGAGGGTGTGTGTGTGCCGTTAATCTAACTGATTTTTACCAACAATTATTCTGTGAATACACCACAAGTTCATTTTATCAATGACCTTAATTTTGATTGGCTCACAAAAGAATTTACTGATGTTTGACTGCCTAGACTGCACTTTTCTGCCTCTTTGTTGGTCAAGCATGATTTTGCAAAAATTTATTTACATCAGTTAGGTATGAAATGTGAGGTTAGGGGTATACTATGGGGTGGGGGTGGTAGTAATTGCTCCATAATTTTTGACAAGCTATATGCTAGTATATTCATGAAAAACAAAAACAAACGAAGGCCATATTGTCACAGAAATGAAACATGTTTAATTACAGAAATCAACATCATTTCATTAAGACCTTAAATACAAAAACTGAAAATTCATTGTTAAACACAGCGTGTAGTAATGTTTTTCAAATAAGTATGTTTTCTTTTCAACATATACTCACTCTGCCAAAGTTTTGTTCTTGAAGGTTACATTTATCAATGGTCCCTTTAACATATCTTCTTTGACATTTCTGAACTGAAGTACTTCTGGAGTTGACTTTAAATGTGAGTAAAGTCAAGGACAAAAAAATACTAGTATTTTTCTCAAATTAGTTTTCTTTACTATGCCTTTAAGCATATACATATTATATGTTAGCTGACAGTGTAGACGTTAAAACAATACCACACTCATTTCCGTAACATTGTGTAAATGTCCACTATAAACAACAACAACAACAAAAAAAAGATTATAAACCCCAAAATGCTTTAGTTTTACTTGCTGAGTTATGTGTAAGTCACAAAATTATGGCATATCAAATTTAATGAACTTGACATAGTAAGCAATAGAAATTATAAATGGCTATATAATATTTCATGAGAAAGTTACATATTATATTTGAAATTAGTCTGATTCAATTAAAGGCAACATATACTTAATATACGATGTATATAAATAATAAAATACAATATGCCAGAAAGATAACTTATTTATCTTCTGAGGTGTATTTTGAGAATAAAAACCATGCAAAATGGTGACATTGTAATTTTATATCACTAACAAAAATATGTACATGTTAACAAAAATACTGTGGATAAACAAAATGCTACAGTATCGCTAAACTAACAGAGGAATGAAAAATATAACTGTTGTCTTAGATTTCAAAAAATTAAATATTTTCAAATTCAATATCACAATAGGAGTGAAACTATCACACAAATCCACCAAATTCTGAATCACATTAGAAGTAACACTCACATAAGTCCAATAAATTCAGGGTCACAATAAGTGTGAAACTATTACACAAATCCACCAAATTCTGGGTCACATTAGGAGTAATGCTCAGAACAGAGGGGTATTGTAATTCATGTGTATCAAAATATAAACTTTTGATTTGTATAATATCCATTACTTATGCTTGAAAATTATTCCACAAATCCCCTCATTTGCTACTGTCAGCAAGCATTGGAACAGACTATTACCGTAAACCATACGGTAAATTAAGCATTATACCAACTGCAGAGTAGCATGTTATGGTAAAATAAGTATGATAACTCAAAAATATATGCTAACAGTGATAATTATATATAACATTTTATTTTAATTCTGAAAAAAAGAGGCCTACTTTTTATATAAATAAAAAATGTGTTTATCTTAAGTAAGCTGCAGTTCTTTCTTTTAGTTGGATGTATGAATAAAGTGCTCTTTTAGTATGAGGTTGCATGTCCACGAGTCTCGCAAGTGCATCAGATACATGTACATAAACAGCTTGCTTTTATGTTCTTATTGTTAACAACTTGATTACTGTTCTAACATATTTAAAACTACACATGGATGTTTTGTTTCTGTGGATTACCTGTGAAATACTAGGATTTTCAATGTGAGTAGCTAAGGTAACATAAGCAGATTAGCAATAGCAAAGGTTCGAACCTTCACTGCGCAATGTGTTCCAGACCTTTAAAGGTCAAAATTTACCCTTCGGCACAGCCCCACAAATGATGATATAAATAGTGTCTGGTCAACTAACATCCGTTATATCCCAGTCAGCCTTGTGAGCCCCGGTACTGGGTAAAAGGTCTTGTTGGCAATGGATATGCCATATAGTGTGGGTGATGTATTATTACAAACTTTTCTTGTTTTCTTTCATAAGTCGTTAGAATTAACTAAAATAACCTACTATAACATTATTTTTATTTGTATATAAAAAAGAAGTTGTCATTTGAATATAATTATTTCTAACTAAAAGACCATTCTTACATGAATGAAAAGAATTAAGTTTCTCATTGTTGAAAAATGCTTAGTTTACAAGAATACAAAGTCTACTGGAAGACTGGAGCATACTGAGATTTAATGAAATAAACCAAATTCATGAAACCTGTTGTTAAAGAAGGTATAAGTATTTCTTAGCTCAAAACAATTATTAGTTTAAAAAGGTTTTTAATTCACATATTTACCTATATAAAAATAAAATAAAATTTAGGATAACACTGACTCCTTCTAAAATGGCCACTTCATCTTATGTTCTTAAGATTTTCTGCCACCTTAACCATTCTTACATTTATAAATAACACATAATAAATATATACTGATGAATGTAATGAAAAAATTTTGTAAGGTCAACAGACATAATTTCAATGCCTACAAGATATTACAAAATAACATGTTGTAGGACAACAACATTGCATACATTTGCCAAAAACATTCACACACAATTTCTATTACTAATATTAAGTCTACTGCTCAAATTACATTAGGTGTTGGTAACACAATGACCCTTCTAGTTCTACCATGGCTTAAAGGTTACTACTTTGTAAATTTGACAACCAATACAACAGTTCAAACCATTACTCATAAAAATATTACCTGAATAAATTTAACCAATATTAATCACAGTTATATTTAATCAAATAATGATAGATCAGCTTGCTAAACATGAAAATGCTAACTCAAAAGGATATTTTCCTTTTTAGTTTTATTGGGATCAGACTTGTAGACTTTTACTTGGCTTAGTTTCTCTGTTGTTAACAAATCATCACCAGGTATAGTGGTTACTTTAATTATTTCTTCATCTATCATGCTCGACACAAAATCAGGTTGATCCTTTTCACTTATCTTGTGCTTTGTTGAATTAGAACTACTGGTAACAGTACCACTACCAGTACAACTCTCACTCTTGTGGTCAAGTGGGTATGATATCTTTATACTTTTACAGGTGTTACTAGTACTAGTAGCAACGGTGTTTTGTAAATTGTTTACATTTATTTCGAATTTGTCATCATTGGATTCTGAACTTTCAATTGAATCGACAACAAGTAAGTGTTCATCACATGAGAAGTTATTTTCGTTACTTTCTTCAAAAGTACCATTTCCTGAATTATCGTTGTTACCATCAATGGTATCATTGTTAACAATACATTTATCAATATCGTTAGGCCTACTTGCCGAAAACAACGTCCCTAATTTGGAAGTATTACAATTAGGCCTACTTGAAGTTGAAAACCAAGTCTCTAATTTTGAAATATTAGGCTTACTAGTAACAATAACGTTTGACTTTATATGATTATTTCTAAAGCGTTCATCTGAATCTTTCCTCCTCTTTCTTCTTCTGTGTCTTTTAGGCAACATTTTCGAAGAACTTTCGTTCTTCGTTCTTGAAGAATTACTCTCAAAAACTATAAATAACTCATCATCATTACTTATATCTTTACTAAAATCCGCCATTTCCGATACTAAAGGGTGTAATAAGTAAAGTTAAGGGACCGTTTATTTATTTAACAACTGTAGTAATATAAACTGATTATTATAAAACTCGTCACCGTTTATTGTTGATCAGGATATATTTATTAAGTATACACCATCCCATTAAAAATTATGAGATACACATCTGCTTGCAGGAAAATGGGTGTGACAACGCAATATGCAAATAGTTTGTCCTATAAAGGTGATCAGCGGTTCGCTCGGAATACTAAAATTAGCAAAAGACTTTTACAAGAAGGTTGTAAACCATAATCCACTAACAGATTTATCAATTACCCCAGAAACTTGGTGCACCCATATTTCTCCTTTGAACTTAATCAAGTCAATGTAATATGTTAATATGTTACAGTGCTATAACCCATATATGCTTTAGTCCCCTAGCTCAGGCACTATCCGGATAGAATATTCAGCGTTCGGGTAGGGAAAGTAGGTTTTTCTCGGGGTACTCCTGTTTTTCTCCCACATCAAAATTCAGGGTTTTAGGATTCTTTGATCCACACTTCAAATTTTTTTTTTTTAAGTGAGGCTATTTTAATCTCTGAAATCAAGCCAAGACAACCTATCGAATCATTACCTTGACCTGAGCCACCTCAGCCTTCCTGCACAGAATTAAAATCATCCTGTAAATATGTTAAATGTATTATTATTATCACCACTTGCTTTTCCACTAAAGGGTTCCCCGGGTTTTATTTTTAACGCATGCGTGGGGCGAAGACTGAACACCTCCGATTGCCTTTGGCCTTGGGTTGAAATTGTCTTAAGTTAACTTAATTAAGATTAAAAGTTTTAAATCAAAACAACTGCCATGGTATTGTTGTTGTGTCGAAAGTGATTTCGAACTTTTACGACGAACGATGAGTATAAGGAAAGAGCTAACATAGTTTTAGAGGGGAAGGATAACTGGATGTTATTTGGGGAAAATGTCTGTACATGCTATTTCGCAACAATTAAATATTTCCAGGTCAACAACTGGTAACGTGCTGATGAAATGGAATCCCACAGGTGACAATGAGCCCAAGAAACGACCAGATAGGCGTAATATACTGATTTACAGGAGCCAACGCGCCTTGAGAAGGCTGGTTACCTCATCTCGTCGTCAGACCCCAGAGAATCTGTGTTTGTAGATGCTAGCAGCCACAGGCAATCCTATAAGTGTTTCTATGACACGTCAAGAGCTGCATGCCACGAATTTTCACGAAAGAGCTGCAGCCCACAAGCCTTTGATAATAAAAACAAATACACAACGTCGATCGGCATGGGGCAAGGCAAACTGAACATAGTCCGTGGATCAATGGAAATCGGTCCTGTGGAGCGACGAGTCACGTTACATGCTCTTCCAGTCTGATGGATCGGTGTGGATGATGCCTGGAGAACGCTTATTACCTAAGTTTGTTGTCCCAACAGTGAAGTTTGTGGGTAGCAGTATCATTTCTGGGAGTGCTTCTGGTGGTATGGACTATGTAACACTTGTCACAGTGTATGGATCCCTGAATGCTGAGTCCAACATTGATGTTCTGAACAATTCTGTGTGTCCTACATTGTAGCAGTTTTATGGTACCGGCCCTTACACCTTCCAACATGATAACACTCCATGTCACAAAGCAATGATTGTGAACGTGTGGTTTGAAGAGAATAACATCAGAACATTGCAGTGACCACCACAGAGTCCCGATCTCAACCCGATATAACATCTTTGGGGTGAATTGGAACGCAGAACTAGGGCAAGGCCAAGATGGCCCTCTTCAGTAGTGGAGCTTACTAATTCTTTAAAGGAGGAGTGGAGCACAATACCATTAGCTTTCTACCAGAAATTAGTACACAGTCGTCCACGACGCATTGAAGCAATCATTAAGGTTAAAGGCAGGCCAACATGCTATTAATATATATTCATAACTACCCGTGTCCCATGACTTTTCGTAGGATAGTGTATGTTTTTGACAGTTGTTTTGCTTCTTTTTCAAAGATAGCTTTGCGTATATCAAAGTTCGAGAAAGTCAGATTAAATATATATGATATATAAATAAAAAATAAAAATTGGTATTCATAACTAATGGTATCATTATAAACATTTTTTATATTACTCATTCATTTGGAACTTTAAAATAAAGGGAATAAGCAGATGTTGAAATTAATAGATGCAAAGATTCATCGACACAAATTTCAATTCCTTTCTTCGTAAATTGTAAGGGATAAAATTACGAATCAGCAAATTTAAGAATAGCTCTTTTCAAAATTGTAATTAATAGAGAAAGCGCTGTAAATTTTACGGTTTGATTTTATTTATATTTATTTCAAGTTGTTTAAATTTTATAGACAACTTTTGTGATCATTTTGATAATCTGAGAATCACACAATGGCTGATCGATCGGTGGCAAGCAAGAAGCAAAGAGGAAACCAGGGACAGACAGGCACAACACAAAATCAACGACCGATATAGGACTTATGGTCCTTCAGGGCGGCGGAGGATCTATAGATCCGATGCCTAGAATTAGATGTGTGGAGGAAACGGGAACGCCCCGAGAAAACCCACTTTCATTAGCTGGTACCTAATAATTGCCAGCCGGTGCCCAATTAACGTGTCAAGACTGGAATAGTATATATTTATATACATAGATCCAACAGGACGTCCCATAGAAATGAGAATTAAAGAACACTCTAGAAGCTGGAAATTAAGAACAATGGATTGAAACTTTGCATCCCACCTTACTGAAACTAAATACCAATTTGATCCGTAAAAAAACTGCAAAATTTTACATACTGTGAAAAAAGTAAAAAACTAGACAGTTTGGAAATTTTAGAAATAAATAGATGTCTAAAAACAAATCCAGAAAAAAAACTCTAATCGACCAAACCAACTTAAACTCCTTTCCACTTGTTTCTAAGTGAATTTCAAGGTCACTTCCGGTTCTTCGTTTGAACACATATATAAACCCTGCTACAAAAACATTTCATTTTGTACCTGATGATGCTTTCACTGGCGAAACCATGGTCGTAGTAAATGATGTATTTGTGAAACGTACAATTGTCTTGTTTTTCCTCAATATTACAAAACATTTATACTTTCTAAATCTCATTTCTTTCCAAACATTTTTCAAACTCTTCAAATTATTATGTCAAGCAATATTTTGAACATATATTTGGTTCTAAATTTTTTTTTATGTAACATATGTATTTACCTCCATCACAACAGGAAGTGCTAATATATTTTATATTAATTTATTTTTTCTTAATATTGTACACTAAACTCAACGGCCTGGCATGGCCAGGTGGTTAGGGCGCTCGACTCGCAATCTGCAGGTCGCGGGTTCGAATCCCACTTCTACCAAACATGCACGCCCTTTCAGCTGTGGGGGCGTTATAATGTGACGGTCAATCCCACTATTTGTTGGTAAAATAGTAGCCCAAGAGTTGGCGGTGGGTCTTACACTGATAAATTAGGGACAGCTAACGCAGATATCCTTCGTGTAGCTTTGCGCAAAAGTCAAAAACAAACACTAAACTTACGATTACTTACATTTTGGAAATATTTTTATTGACTTATTTGTTTATTGTTTTAAACAAAGTTCACAATGGGCTTTCTTTTTTTTTTTGTTCACTCTGATTTTTAGTGTTATAAGCCCTCCGACTTACCGGTGAATACCTCGGTGGAACAGCGGTATGTTTGCGGACTTACAACGCTAAAATCCAGGGTTCCATTCTCTGCAGTGGACACAGTAGATAGACCAATGTGGCTTTGCTCTAAAACAAACAAACAAACTTACCTCTGACCCATCGGGGAAGGGTGATTTTTTATCGAATTATCATTACTGGACTGAGAATTAAAGTTTAGAAAGGAATGAAATGTAAGATTAGGTATTTGAAAACTGAAAGGTATCGCATGCAACACATGAGCTAAACAGCTAATTTAGAACTGTTGATCAGAGAGACGGAAATAAGTTATCTTTACCTGTTGCCACATGGCTGCCTTGAACTGATTAGCTGGATTGAGTGTTAATATAAGAAAGGGGAATATTTTAAAATACTTACACATTTTCTAGTAGATGGCAGCACTTTAATTCTGGAAAAGGAAGTTATCATTTACAGGAAGAAGGGAACTGTCACCAAAAACGTTTATATATTTAGTTGAGTTTCGCGTTGTTCAACCCTATATATAAATAAATAGATAAAGAGGTCAGTAAAACGTGAAACACGATAATAGTAATATTACAAAAAGTAAATTAAAATGAAGGTTTAATTTGTTTTAGAATTTCGTACACCGACAGCCCCATAGTGCGGAGCGCGTTTTTTTAGGAGCGAAATACGAGCCATGAACCATTGGATTAACAATCAAAGCACACTAACCGCTAAACTATGTCCTATCAAGAAATTTACCTAAAGGAAAAACGTAGTTATCGAATTGCTTTACTACTCTCTACAGTACGAGAAGGTTCTGAAGTAGCGAATAGGGTAATAACTCAGAAATATAATGATTTTCAGAGTGTGAATAAATTTGTTACAAACTTTGAGTTGAAGTTTGATCTTAAAACTAAAGACACCTAATTTGGAGAAACATAAACTTCTAATGATATTTCACGGCTCTACCTATACCTATTTTATGCAGTAATGTTTCCAGCTGAGGAATTTCAAAAGCCTTTTAAAAATTCACAAACGTTAACTTTTGTTTTCGATTGTTTGTTTGTTTTGTTGCTAAATGCAAAGCTACACAATCAAGGGTTTGATTTTTGATATTCTCTCGTTAGTACGTTTTAGTGCTCATTTAACCCTAAAATTACAGAGGATGCACATTTAGCCGCCATAGACTTTTTAAACACATTTGTCTAATCATTTAATACACTATACTGCTTGTGCGTCCATGACTTTTTTTATCACACTATCCATAATAGGATACGTCATAAGTACAAAAAAGAAGCATTACAATTAATACTATTAATTACTGCGGGAGTTTCCATTATATATATATATATATTGCATAG